AGGGTATTAATAGGGTATTAACCCTATTAATACCCTTGTATTAATTTCATCAACATCAACTTGTATTAATTTCATCAACACAAGACAGAACAAGGGTATTACTAGGGTATTAACCCTATTAATACCCTTGTTCTGTCTTGTGTTGATGAAATTAATACCCTATTAATAATTGGGTATTATCAGCCAATTATTAATACCCTATTAATAATTGGCTGTTGATTGCTGATTCAGCAATCAACAGCCAATTATTGCACAACTATATTCTACCCACCTCAAGACTCCGCTCCAATATAGAAGCATCAAGAAATATGGACCAATAGGCTTTCTACAAACACTTCTATTCAATACCCATTGTTTCTGTTCTGTCTTGTGTTGATACTTTTAATACCCTATTAATATCCCCTCGTGTTCGGTCTTGTGTTAATGCCACATCATCCCTCCCACCTCACTCAAATGTAGATATAAAATCAGAGATACGTTCTAATCAGTTGTGTATTTGTGAAGTCTTTGAAAATGTAATATGTTTTACGAAACGCGCCCGTGTCGCGTCAGACTAGAAATAAAAATGAATTTTGGAGAAGTGATTTTTGATTTACCTCCAACAGTGAAGCGTAATGTACGAAAGATTGAGAAAATTCGTGTTAGAATTATTAATCTTACTTTTTCGGTCATATTTAATAATATATGTCTACAGGAAAGACTGCTACCAAAATATACTAATATATATATATATATATATATATATATATATATATATATATATATATATATATATATATATATATATATATATATATAGGGGGGTACCACCTCTGGTGCAATTATAGGGACCCACAGCCTCAGAGAAGGGAACACAGAGCATTCAGGGAAAAACTTGCCATTTAACTCTGAATACGTAAGAGTGTTCGCTTCTCCTACCAACCCCCTTTTTTATGGTGTACACTTTATTATGCAAGGTTATACAATTACATATCTGATTTTATACAAAAAAAAAATAACATTAAGAGGACACAAAAAAAAGTTCGCTTCCTAGAGGCTGTAGATTTCCTCGACCTCCTCCGACGCCGGGCAGGAACCTAGGATGCATCGAACCTTCCCTTTTTGAATAGCGACACTGAGGCGCTGAAAGAGAAAACTTGCTGCTCTAGGGTCTCTTGTGGTGTCAATGAGCTTGGAACCAAGATCCTTAAGAAACCTTTTTGCACTCTCTTTCTAGGGTCTCAGACCCTATTGGAACGAAGTTGTACCGATGATCTAATTGCCTGTACTTGGCTGACTTGTCTCTTTCTCTGCGTGTCGCCGCGGCTCCTGCTGTGCTGGCAGAGAGGTTGATGTATGTGGTTGCCAGGGTGGATACACAAGTATATTCCCATGCCAACTGTCTGCCACCCTTCCACGGTCGCAGTGTGATTCCGTCTGGTCGGCCGGCAAAACTAACAGAGTCACGGTTCAGTAGGTTGCGGGGCTCTCTCTCCGCTGGACTCTGAGCAGAGGCAAGGCTTCTTTTAATGATGTCATTGACATCGTCGTGTCTAGTGTGCCAACCACCAGATTTTCCACAGCACAGGCCATGCAATCCATATTCGTCAGCATCTGCCTCGCCGCAAATACACCTATGAACAGTGTGGATAGGGGCAGCAAGACGGAGAGCGACTGCAATACGGAACTCCTGCGGATCAAGACGTGTGCCTGTCGCAGACATAGGGACTGCCAAAAGGAAGTCCCCTGCATGGGGAGCCTGCACAGCTGTGAGGCGTGCACGATCACTGGGGGTTGTTGTTGCCTCCAGCAAAGCTGTGGCTTCTTTGTCTACAATGGGGCTGTCCCAGCTGGATTGTTTCTTGCCTTTCGGCATGGCTGGTCTGAGTGCTGGGTCTGCCATGGCACCCCATTTCGTGTCGCATTCCGTGTAGTGGGGGTCCTGTATCCCCGCTACATCACTCAGGGTGTCAGGTAGAATTTCCTTAACCAGGTCATCTGATGCTGAGGAGGAAGACAGGAAGGCTGGGACAGCAATTTGGGTAGCAGTGCGGACACCCAAGCCACTGAGCCTAACAGGAAGAGTGGCTTGTTTCCACTGGCATTCGTTGAGGGAGAGGTTAACAACTTTTTCCAGCATGGTCTTCAGTAAGAGGTCATACTCTTCAAGCTTTCGGCTGTCGTAAGACGGGGTGCACCTCAGAAAGTAGGTTAGCCTCGGAAGGGATAGGCATTTGGTGAGGAGATAAAAAGCATTGTGGGCATTGATGTCACCTATTCTATCTTCCATCCTCCTAAGGTCTGCAATTTTCTTGTCAAGGATCTCCTCAATGGCGTTAGACCGAAGGGGGGCTCTAAGGAGGGTGCTGTTCTCGGCCCTAATGACATGGGCTCCAGGCAAGGCAGACCTAATTCTAGCTACGATGTCTCTGTTGGAAGAGACTACTTCACACTTGGAAGGGTTCCGGACAAGACCCAGGCTTACTTCTTGTTGCCTTATTTTCCTGATATCTGCCAAGAGATGGTCTACGGTGCCAGCTATAGTGCCATCATTCAAAAACCAGATGTTGAACTCGCTGGACAAGCTTTCGGTGATTTCTTTTAAGACTAAGCAGAAAAGAAGGGAAGCAAGAGGATCACCTTGCTGAACACCTTCACATGATCTGATTTCATGTTCACCAAAGAGCAGTTTTGACTCACTACTGTAGCACGATAGTATGAACGGGTAGATGGGCCGGAAATGGCGATGTACGGCACAAGGTACTGCATCTCTTCTGACCATGTTGAAGGCATTCTTAAAGTCCAGTTTGAGCAGGGCCTTTTCATCAGAAATGTTGGTGATGTATGCTCACATATATATATAATAATATAATATATTATATTATAATATATGGTGATGTATGCTCACATATAATATATATATATATATATATATATATATATATATATATATATATATATATATATATATATATATATATATAATAATAATATTATTCTTATTGATATACATTCAACTACTACTACTATCACTACTCCAACTAGTTATAATACTACTACGGTTATTACTACTACTAATACTATTACTCTTACTGCTACTACTTTAAAATAATTATAATAATAATAATAATAATAATAATAATAATAAAGATAGGTATAGTTTAATATTATCAGATGATATAGTTCAGTTTATTGTTTTTAGGGTTGTTCTTTATTTAACAACCCTGAACAAAAAACAAAAATCAAATAAATAATATTTAATCAATTGTTAAACATGAAAATATAACAACTTTCTGTCCCACTCTCTCCCAGTGAAAACCAAACATAATGTTGACAGTGCTAAAGATAAACAATTCTATTAGTTATATTATTATTATTATTATTTTTATTATTATTATTATTATTATTATTATTATTATTATTATTAAAAGTAGTAGCAGTAGGAGTATTAGTATTAGTACTAGTAATAACCGTAGTAGTATTAGAACTAGTTGGAGTAGTGATAGTAGTAGTAGTTGAATGTATATATCAATAAGAATATTATTATTAATATAAGAGCAATATTGTCAGGCAATGATAATGACTGTAAATGTGTCAGGGTTGATGTTAAAGCTTGTGTTGTGGCCAAAGGATGAGTATTATCTTCCAAATTAGTAATGGTATTGACATTCATGTGTCGATAGCGTTGTCGCATGGTAAGGAGTGCATTGCTACCCCAGTGAATAGTTTCGTCGTTAATAAGTGATCCATGAACTTCTTCATTGTCATCATTACCTAATTCCTCCTCTGAGCCATTATTTCCCTGATCTATTGCTGGTGTTGGTATTGTTGTTTCACCTTGGTTAACGTAACTTCTGAAAAATTCTTTAGTATTAGAATGTCACAGAATTTCACTGATAATTTTGAAAGGTAAAATATGATTCTTACCCAACTGATGTGAAAGACTGTTAAAAGTACGCGTGGCAAAATCAGCTCTGAGGGAATGGAGTCCCGCGCCTCTTAACTCTTCCTTGACGTTATATTCTTCATCTGGGGATAGTTTCTGGTTTCTTTCCTTGGCAATTTTTCAGAGATAAGTTTTAAAACTTTTTGTGTACTCAGGTAACTGAAGTCAAATATGGGTTTATCCCAATGATCAGCTACCCTGGTTCCCGGATGTTTAAGTAACGTCAATCGTATCATCTTATTATTAACATATGGAATGAGGTATTGAATAAAAAAAGTGGAAGCACCACCTTTCAACAAGGGAATGTTGCGATCCTTACCGTGTTTACTGTACACTACCGGCAAAACTACAGTGTGTGTGGAAGGGTAATAGAAATCTATCACATTACGATATGTTACGTTGTTGGCCTCTTTGGCTCGCAGACCTGTATGGTATATTAGTAGAATTTTATATGAGTGTTCAGACTGAGAAAAATTCCAAATTCTACTAACGGTCTGAGCAATCAAGCGGCTGTCTAAAATAGGTTTATTATTACGGCGCAATTTGTCGGCAGTACGGGGCAGGCGCATTTCTTGTGCCAGAATGGGACCCACGATATACTTGTTGAGTGTGCGAACGTTGGTTAGTCGTGTCATGTATTTCCAATTGGCATCGCGATTCAGATACACATTGTAATCATTTATCAGATCGGGGGAAATGGGGGCTTCACGACCAACCCGATTAAGTTTAAAGCAGCCGAATTTTTCCAGAGTACACTTGTAATTCTTTAAGCTAGAAGGGTTAAGTAACAGTCGCTTTTTAAGCTGACATGGTTGTTCTCTTACAGTATCTAGCTCACTATCCTCATTTTGATCCTCTTCAACGTATGTAATAATTTCTCTTTGTGTACGTGGATTAAGAACAGGACGGTTGAATTCTTGTTTTATTCGTTCCAAGTCACTGTCATTCAAAAATTTACGAAATATTTGATTAATAAAATTGTCATCCATTTTTTATCTAGTAGGAGAAATTTTATGACGGATTAAAAATAAAATGAGAAGAATTTCTAATTTAAAAACAAAATATAGAATATTAAATGACCGAAGCATTAGTACAAGAAATTGACCGAGGTCTTCAACCCTTGCTTCGTCTCTCTCAGAGTTTGGGTGAAGAAAGTTGGGGATTTACTACCACAAATAAATATTTGGCTGAAATATCCAGAGATATTGAAGGTTCAAATCTTAAAGCTAAAACCTTTATTACATCCGTCCATGACAACCTTCACCTAAAATCTTATAGTCAGTCCAAAGAATTTATAGAATCTCTTTTACACGGAGAATACAGTTCTCCTCTTCTAAATGCAAAAGAAAACGAAGCTCTGAAAAACACTTATCTTCGAAATATCCATTTAAACTCTATAAAGCACATGTTCGCAGAGTAAAAAAGCTGGCTCAGGAACTGGGGTTTGAAAACGAAACACAATTTCGAAAGTTTATAGAAAGTAATCCTTCACTGAAAAATAAAACATTAGTCCGTATTTTTAAAACCATAGGCAAATGGGCTGATGAAAATAAAAGTTTTATACTCTTAAGTGGGCTAACATTAGGTTTATTACTACCTTATCAACAAAAATATAATCGAAAGAATAGTGGTTGTTTTAGATATCATGTGGGACAAGAATCTCAATCCTTACAGAAAGAAGTTTATTTAAACCGATTTTGTCAATTCGCTACCAGTCTAGCTGACCACAGCAGTGACACAATACTGGAAGACGTAACTCATCATTTCTCTAACGCACGTGCATGGGACTGTAACTTTAATATACCCAGTACTATTGAAACCAAAAATATATTAAGTTTAGGATGTAATGGAATATGTAATCCTCATAACTATAATTTGCTCATACCGTTTGTCCAAGGAGGATATATACCGGTTGATTTTAAGGAAACATTTTATATGTATAAGTGTGAACAGGGTACGTTTTTACGAAATGTTGCTGAAGCACTAGGTGATGGTTTTGGTCAGGTCGTTCAGGGTATCAGCCAATCTAATGTGTTGCAGTTTATACCGAATTCATTGAAAAAAATGGGATGGATTATACTGATACTAATCATAATAACAATATTTACTGGTCTAATTGTAAAACTTATTGTTCAAAAATTATATGTATAACCGTTAATCAATGCTTTTTTTGCGTTCAAACCAGCATATATTTGATATTTTTTTAAAATACTTTTTTATGAATTTATTATAACTAAAAAACCATAGAAAAAAAAAAGTAGCAATGGGTTTAACACGAATTTTAGTTGCTATAATCCTAATTGTAATCGTTATAATAATTATTCATTTCCGCGGAAAACGTATCAATGTCAGTAAGGCTATCAGACATAATCCAATACCAGAGTCCTCCAATGTATATCAAGAAACATACCAATCCGTCAACAGTCAAACAACAAAAACAACCAAATTCTCTGAACTTCCTCTTGAAACAACATTACCATCCACCATCAGTCCAACAACAACAAAATTCTCTGAAACATTACCATCCACCATCAGTCCAACAACAACAACAACAGAGTCCTCTGAAGCACTTCAAGAAACATTATTACCATCCACCATCAGTTCAACAACAACAACAGAGTCCTCTGAAGAATCTAATATAATCATCTCAAAGTTGGAATCAATATTCTCCCCGTTTATCAGAGATATAAATACCTATAAAGGTCTCATAATTATTCCTAAACCACCAATTTCGTATAATCCTAAGAATAGAATCGAAAGTGAGAATACAATCATTAAGCCTTTTAATAGCTTCCTTCTAAATTATAATAAAATCCACAGATATTTATATAATAATAATGTATTATTTAACGTAAATTATGTATGGCAAAATTCTAGTTACGACATGGGATATTATACAAAAAATACAATTATTTTAATATTTCCTTGGAATATTCACGATTTCAAACCTAATGTTTATACAGATCAAAGTGAAATACAAGATGTTACATTACAGAACCATATAAATGCAGTACGGGCAAAATCACACAATAAAAGAAGAAAATTCTACATGGACAAATTGTGGATATCATGTACGCATGCGGCAAGTCAAGATATATTTATTCAGGGGTTTTCTAAGTATGATTTTCCAATTAAAGAAAATGAAACTTGAACTTCAAGATGGTAATAATAAGGTGGAATGTAAAATGGTGGCTAAGAACATTAATTCCTCAGAAACCTTTGCTAGCATTAAATTTAATATCAATGTGGAAGTCTCGGAAGAAGAAGAAGAAACAGGAGGAAGAGCAGGGGGACCCCCTGATATGGTTCCCGATTATGAGTCCAGAAACATAATAATCGAAAGAATTTAAAATTATAATTGTTGTGAATAGGATAAAAACGGTGAGGGACAATGTATGAATTTTCGACCCCTAATTGACTCTAGAAATAAGTTTCTGAGTGAAAGTGTATATATTTAATATATCAATAACATATTTGACTTTGGTTGAATAATTACTGTATATTTTTAATACTTTAATTAAAAATCATATAATTAAAAAAATAGAAAATTAGGAATGAATCTACTGTCAACAATTATTATTTTTATAATATTATTAATTTTCCTAACAGTTATAGTAGTCATTCACTCACGGAAAAAATCTACATATACTAAAAAATTATATAAAAACGAAAACAATGACAATTCCATCAGTCATGATACAATACCAGAGTCCACTGAACTATCTCAACAATCCTCCTTCGGTCTAACAGAAGCTTCTACAGTACCTCAAGAATCATTAAAATCAGTCAGTAGAGTACCTCAAAAACCATTACAATCCTCTTCCATCATTTCAACAGAATCTTCCGAAAAATCCAAAGAAACATTAAAATTCTCCAAGATTCAAATAATGAAGAAATGGCAGCAACTCCAACAACACCTTCATCTTCTGATCAAGATTCAAACAGATTCCTCTGAAATGCCTCAAGAAACATTACAAACTGAGGCCTCTGAACTGCCATAACAAAAATTACAAACAAAAGATTCAGAACATCCTCCAGAAACATTACAAACTGAGGCCTCTGAACTGCCTCAAGAAACATTACAAACTGAGGACACTGAACTGCCTCTAAAAACATTACAAACTGAGGCCTCTGAACTGCCTCAAAAATCCTTACAAACTGAGGCCTCTGAACTGCCTCAAGAAACATTACAAACTGAGGCCTCTGAACTGAGCCTCTGAAGTTCAGAGGCTCAGTTTGTAATGTTTCATCAAGAAATGTTTGTAATGTTTCCTCAAGAAACATTACAAACTGAGGCCTCTGAACTGCCTCAAGAAACATTACAACCTGAGACCTCTGAACTGCCTCAAGAAACATTAAAAACTGTGGCCTCTGAACTGCCTCAAGAAACATTAAAAACTGTGGCCTCTGAACTGCCTCAAGAAACATTAAAAACTGAGGCCTCTGAACTGCCTCAAGAAACATTACAAACTGAGACCTCTGAACTGCCTGAAAAAAACATCACAAACTGAGGTCTTTGAACTGCCTCAAGGAACATTACAAACTAAGGACTTTGAACTGCCTCAAGAAACAATAAAAAGTGAGGCCTCTGAACTGCCTCAAGAAATATTACAAACTGAGGTTTCTGAACTGCCTCAAGAAACAATAAAAAGTGAGGCCTCTTAACTGTCTCAAGAAACATTAACAACTAAGGCCTCTGAACTGCCTCAAGAAACATTACAAGTTGAGGCCTCTGAACTGCCTCAAGAAACATTACAAACTGAGACCTCTGAACTGCCTCAAGAAACATTAACAACCGAGGCCTCTGAACTGCCTCAAGAAACATTACAAACTGAGGCTTCTTAACTGCCTCAAGAAACATTAACAACTGAGGCCTCTGAAATGCCTCAAGAAACATTACAAACTGAGGCCTCTGATCTGCCCCACGAAACAATACAAACTGAGACCTCTGAACTGCCTCAAGAAACATTAACAACCGAGGCCTCTGAGCTGCCTCAAGAAACAATATAAACTGAGGCCTCTGAACTGCCTCAAGAAACATTAACTTACGAGGCCTTTGAACTGCCTCAAGAAACAATAAAAACTGAGGCCTCTGAGCTGCCTCAAGAAACAATAAAAACTAAGGCCTCTGAACTGCCTCAAGAAACATTAACTACCGAGGCCTCTGAACTGCCTCAAGAAACAATAAAAACTGAGGTCTCTGAACTGCCTCAAGAAACAATGAAAACTGAGGCCTCTGAACTGCCTCAAGAAACATTACAAACCGAGGCCTCTGAACTGCCTCAAGAAACATTAAAAATTGTGGTTTCTGAACTACCTCAAGAAACACTACAAAGTAAGGATTCTGAACTGCCTCATGAAACATTACAATCTATCATCAACTCTATGAAGAACTTGAAGTACCACAAGAAATATCACAATCCATCATCGATCAAACATTACAGTTAGTCATCAGTCAAATAGAGTCCTCTAAAGTACCTCAAGAGGTACTACAATTCATAATCCAGCAAACATTACAATCCGTCATCAAGCAATCCATTTATTGAAGATATAAATACTTATAGTGGTCTCTTCATTGTTCCCAAACCACCATTTTCGTATAATCCTAAAAATATCGCCGAAACTGACAAGACATTAATACAACCCTTAAATGACTTTCTTTCAAATTGTAATCAAGCCAACATATATTTTCATAAAAAAGATTCATTTTACATGAATAAAGTTAGGACAATTTTTAATTCTGATATTTGATATTATACAAAAGATCCCATTATTTTAATATTTCCGTGGAATATTTCTGATTTTACACCTGACATTTATACAGATCTAAGTGAAATAAAGACCAACAAATTAAAGAACAATTTTATAAAATTATATAAACAAGGAAAAATAATTGACATGAACAAGTTATGGATTTCATGTACCCATGCAACAAGTTATCATATATATCTTCAGGGATTTTATGAGTCAGTTTCCGATTAAAGAGAATTCCTTGCCCCCATTTGTTATTATGGAACTTGAACTCCAAGACGGCAATAATGAGGTGGAATGTAAAATGTTGGCTAAGAATATTAATTCCTCAGACACATTTGCTAGAATTAAATTTAACATTAATGTGGAAATCAGGGAAGAAGAAACGGCAAAAGAATCACACAGAGGACAATTACAAGATGCAGGAGAAGGAGTAGGAGGAGAATTACAAGACGGAGGAGAAGGAGTAAGAGGAGAATTACAAGACGCAGCAGGAGTAGGAGGACAATTACAAGATACTGGAGAAGGGGTAGGAGGACAATTACAAGACGGAGGAGAATTACGAGATGCAGGAGAAAGGGTAGGAGGAGAATTACAAGACGCCGGAGAAGGAAGAGGAGGAGGAGAATTACAAACAAGTGAAAATGAGTCCTCTGACGTTCCTCATGTCATCAGTCAAATGGAATCCATCGAACTACCTCATAAATTACTTCGAGAATTATTACAATCCTCCATCTGTCAAGCAGATTTTTCTGAACTACCGCAGGAAACAAAAGAATATGCCCAAGAAACAAAAGAATTCGTTTGTCATGCAGATTCGTCTGAACTTCGAAAATCCAAAATGAAATCCAAACTTGAAGAATCATTATTCTCGCCATTTGTCGAAGACATAAAAAGCTATAAAGGTCTTTATTGTTCCCAATCCACCAATTTCGTATAATCCTAAAAATACTGCTGAAACTGACAAGACAATAATTCAACCCGATAATAAATTCCTTAGTTATTACGATAAAATCCACAAATACTTTATCAATGGTTATCCTGCATATTACATACATAAACTATATAAAAATTCTAATATTGATAGGGGATATTATACAAAAAAACTAATTATATTAATATTTCCATGGAATTTCCATAATTTCATACCTGATATTTATACAGATCTAAATGAAATAGAAGACGTCAAATTAAAGAACAATTTAGACGCATCCCGTATAAAATTACAAAAGGGAGGAAAACGATTTTACATGAACAAATTGTTGATATCATGTACCCATGCTGCAAGTCAAGATATATTTCATTGTGGATTTTATACGGATAATTTCCCAATGACAGAAAATTCACTACCTCCATTTGTGGTTATGAAACTTGAACTTCAAGACGATAATAATGAGGTGGAATGTAAAATGTTGGCTAAGAATATTAATTCCTCAGATACATTTGCTAGCATTAAATTTAACATTTATGTGGAAGTCGGAGAAGAAGAAACAACAAAAGAATCACAAGGAGAAGGAGGAGGAAGAGAATCACAAACAGTAGCAGGAAGAGATTCACAAACAGTAGGAGGAGAAGAAATAGGAAGAGAATCACAAACAGTAGGGGGAAAAGGAGGAGGAAGAGATTCACTAACAGTAGGAGGAGAAGAAATAGGAAGAGAATCAGAAACAGCAGGAGGAGAACGAGGAAGAGAATCACAAGCATTAGGAATGCACATAGCACAGTTATTACAAGCTCGTTATGGAGGAGGAGAATCCCAAACAGTAGGAGAAGGAGGAAAACCCCCGACCAAAAAGATAAAAACTGGATTCAGCTATACAGAACAAAATGTTCCAAGCAGCACGGACTATGACGAATCTCTATATTTTAAGTATTGGGAAAGCTTTTAGGCACATTAAAAATAATCGTTTATGGTTCGTTTTCATTAAAAAACACATGGTCGTTCTAAAATATTAGATCTATGAAACCTTTCTTAATATCATTCTAATCACATTGTCAATTATTTTTTTTATAGATGCACTCAGTCAACATTATAAGATGCAGCTGGTACATTGGGAAAGCTTTTAGGCACATTAAAAATAATCGTTTATGCTTGCTTTCATTAAAAACCCAAGATCGTTATAAAATATGAGATCTATGAAACCTCTCTCAATATCATTCCAATCACATTGTCAAATATTTTTTTATAAATGCTCACAACATTATAAGATGCAGTTGGTGTACTGGGAGAGCACTTTAAAATGGTTCGTTTTCATTAAAAAACACTAGATCGCTTTGAAAAATTAGATCTATGAAACCTCTCTTAATATCATTCCAATCACATTGCCAATGATTTATTTTTATAGATGCACTCAACATTATAAGATACAGCTTTATGTATTGGAAAAGTTATTAGGCACCTTAAAAATAATCCTTTATGGTTCGTTTTCATTAAAAAACACAAGATTGTTATAAAATATGAGATCTATGAAACCTCTCTTAATATCATTCCAATTGCACTGTCAATGATTTTTTTTAGATACACTCAATCAACATTATAAGATGCAGTTGGTGTACTGGGAGAGCACCTTAAAATGGTTCGTTTTCATTAAAAAAACACTAGATCGTTTTAAAATGTGTATAATCTTTTCAGTTTTCTCACTTTAATTTTCATGCTACGTCTTTCATTTTGATGTAAAATTGTTTGCAATAGAATTCTCTAAAGGGATGTATGCATAGAAGGCCAAAAAAAGCCCAGCGTGCCACCCGCAGCCAACCCGAAAATCGGATGAGCCATACCTGGGAACGAGCACCCATCAACATGCCCACTACACTGGCACTAAAATGTGTATACTTTTTAGTTTTCTTTCCTCAATTTTCGTGCTACGTCGTTTATTTTGGTATCAATAGTATGGTTTTGTATGAACAAATAACTTCAATATAAATTGGCAGAAGTAATTAGACTGGTGAAGATATATGTCTTAAGAACTAATATTGGGGAAGTAGGTAATATCGATGTCAACATAGAAAATAGTAATTCTATTGTTATGTCTATTTTTAGTTCTTTCCAGAAAGTAGGATGGGAATCAATCCCTCTGAGAATTGTATAAGGTAGTGATCATGTCCCGAGTTAAGAACAATACCTTCTACTCTATCTGTCTGAGGGTTTTTTATCAGGTGAAATACTCGCTATATAAACATCTCCCAAATATTAGATAAAGTTTACTTCCCTCATTTTTTGGCCCTCCCATAGGGTCATTTTAATTTTATT